AATAAAAAGTTTGATATATAGAGACTATTTCCGATTAATTTTAATAATTCTTAAGTGGTCCTTCATTTATTGGGGGGTACTGTATTTTATAGTATGCAAATAAATAAAAAAATAAGTAAGAATTATTATAAAAAAAAAATATATTATAAACTACTATATACAATATTCCCTTTTAAATAGTATTTTTTTAAATTTTTTTAATAATACTTTTTTTTTTTCTAATAATTTTTCAAGTGAAATAATTATATCCGGAGTACTGTATGCAATGCTTTATAATAGTTGACTTTTAATTTAATTTATATTTTCATAATTTTAATTTTTGATTTTTTATATAGATTTTAAATAAATAAATATTATATTACAAAACAATTTAAAATAATGTACGAATTTCGATAGTGTGACTTGAACACTATATTATTTATGCTTAATAAATAAAAATTGTTAAAAGCAATTGTAGACGTATTAATTGTGACTATTTGTTATTACGCGCCACAGCCCACTATTTAGTAATTATAAAACGATAAATAGCGCGATTTTCCAAATAAAAATCCTGTTTCCCTCGGATTTACCTTTTTTGAGAACTGATCATTTTGATCATTTTACATCTTATATTGAAAACCAGAACAATTTTTTGTCGTATACGTTATTAGTCATGTTTCATTTACTGAAAAGATTTCCCCTCCTTATTTCGATATGGATAGCATGTTTTATGATCTGTAATGGTTTTTCGGATTCTCCACCACATCGAGATACTGAAAAATCCGTTAACTCTCGGCTTTCTTCCCCTGCTATTTATCTACCTGGACCAAAATCTCACTTTTCATTAAAACCGAAATCCGTCTTGGAAACGGAGGATCCGCCTAAAAAGGATCCGGAAAAAGATTGCCCGCCATGTTTTAATTGTCAACTTTCTGCATTTCCGTGCTCTCACTTTTCTGAATGTAACATTTATGACGGAAAATGTGAATGCCCACCCGGTTTTGGTGGAAACGATTGTTCGGTGCCAGGTAATGTCAGGAACATAACTAGTTGTTTGTGTGGCTTATCTTATTCTTATGTTTGTGCATGTTTAAATCAAATATGTGTAAAAGAAATGTGACTTAGTGGTTATAGGAATGAAAGTCATTGTTTTTTAAATGAATCTATCGGATCTGCAACGATTCCGCGTTCCTATTCATTCTTGTTCAAAAGATAGCTTCACCAATCCACTAATTTGTTTCCAAGATTACTGACTGATATATTTTATGAATTACCATTATAGTTTGCAACTCCTTGGCTGATGGTCGCAACAGGCTTCCTCGTGAAGTTAATCAAACATGTCAATGTACTGAAGGATGGGGAGGAATCAATTGCAATAGTTAGATATCTTCTATTAAATGCTCTTCTTTATTTTGATTATTTAAATCTAATATTATGTGTTATATATTTCAGTGTGTTTAACTGATTCTGTGTGTGATCCGCTTGTTCCTACTAGGAGCAATGGTACTTGTTATAAAGGAGGACTTACCGTGCATGAGAATTTTCAAATGTGTAATGTGACGAGTACGTATTTTTACGTTCCTTTGCTTTATGTGTTACACTATTAATATTGACCATTTATCTTTACAGACAAGAAAATCTTGGATATGTTACCTGATCAACCTCCTCAGGTTACCTTTTCCTGTAATCGCAAATCTGAAAACTGTGATTTCCAATGTATTTGCTATTTCCAATTTAATTGTATTGATTATTAATTATTACTACATTTCAGCCTAACATACCTCATAATTACAGTTTGGATCAATCAGACCGAATCATTTTATTGTCACTTAACCAATTGTTCATTTTATCAAGACATCAATAGTGAACAAAACACTACAGAATATAAGTGTGAGAAAATTAAGTGTCAATGCATTGCAGGTGAAATGTTGTGTGGGAAAGGTGGATCTATTGGTATGTTTTCACAAATGTCGGACGTGATTACACCTTTGTATTTAAGATTTTCATTATAAAAATTATTTTATTAGACCTTTCTGATTGGTTGGTTGAGGAAATAAACGGACCCGCTGAATTTTCGTGTTACGGTTCCAATGATTGTCGTTTTTCTGGTAATCGAGTTTTAGGAGTCACTAAGATTTTGTGTTATAGAAGGGGAATTTCATGTTTACAAACGGTTTACAACATAATTATTCACAGAACCTGCCATGGACCAATTAATATTGAGTATATTTGGGGATAAATATATATCTTTGGATTGTTTTGGTGGAGAATGCCTTCATATTAGCGAAGTGCCAAAACTCGATGTTAGTAATTAGAGATGTTTTATAGCTTCCCGCGTTATTTTATTTTGTTTTTGACCTTGAAATATTACATCACAGAGACCACATAAACCGGATAATACTAATATTATTATAGCGGCAATTATAGCTGTGTTCACATTTGTTGCGGGAATCTTCGCAGGTAAGCTTTTTATCTAATTTATATACTAATACACTATTTGATTTTGGGTCATGGGAATAATACGCATAACATTCCTTCAGCTGTCTTTTACTTGTCTCGTCATTGGAGTCCATCATCCTATGGTCAGATACGTCTTGATGATGATGAAGCCG